CAGAACAGTTGTTCTGCTTCACCTAGACTGAGATTTTGACTCGTCAGCATCACAAGATTCAAATAGGAAAGATGGCATTTAGCACATCTACAGGGAAAACAGTCAGAGGGAAAAAGCTGCAAAGCAAGAATAGCAAGAGACTGTAGCAGTCCAATATATAACAGTTCAGAAAACAATGATGTTTAAGCTGCATTCAGAGAGGCCTTATGTCCTCAGGCAGGAATAACATAGTTGTAGGAATATTAGGAATGTTATCTTGAACACTCAAAATTCTCATTAAGATCAAGTAAACTGCAGGGAATTCAGAAAAGAGTAAGATATGTGGAAAGGGATGATGCTTGCCGAACTTGACGCAGTAACACTTCTGAGAACTACCATCTTCAAATGACTGAAAGATAAGAATTATTTAAAGGATGAAATTAGTCCAACGTTTTATTGCATAAAATCTACTTACGTTTTTGATTGAAAACGTGATCATAACTGACCACATAACTCATTAACGTGATTTATGTCTTGGTTAAGATGACTTTTTGTTTTTTAAATAAGCAGGATGATTCCTAAATACAACTGAACTTTCCTTATTTTAATTTAGCTTTTTATTCCCATGTGACATGTTTGGCATAAAGATCTGAACTCAGTAGATGCTAGGCTAAGCAGACTGAACATAGCCACACAGAGAAGGAGGAACCTCCCTAAAGCTACTGGCATTTTTCCAGTACAGGAAACAATTAGAGAATAAACAAGGATGGTATATTCACTGCCTTGCCAACTGCAATAGAGATACTAACATTTAGGTCATAATGTGTCACATGAGGTCTCCTTTAAACATTAAAAATACTGCTGTAAGCCTGGTTTTCTTGTCTTCTGGTTTAATTTTGTAATTCTTATTCCTTGTTTTTATTGGTATCAGATTTAAGCTTCTTGTCTCCACTTTCCAGCTCTGTCCCTTCTATTTTTTTTTTTTTTTTTCCTCAGGCTTTGTATTGTCTCTATTCCTGGTCCCTACCACTGCAGAGCTTTATCCCTTTATTTGTCATATTGGCATTCAGTCAGCTTGGTGCTTTTCTTTTTATCCGAATAATAAAATACCTGTTCTGCCACTGAAGACCTATTTCCACCACACTGCAGAGTGAGAACTAACCTCCACATACAATGAGTGGAAATTGTTATTATTTTTTTTTCCCCCCTTCTACACAGTGTTTGCTGCCCTGCAAGCTGCAAAATGCTTGGAGGAGAAATCATCATTCTGAAGTGTCTGGAAAGCACTCAACCAAGAGTGGGTGCTACCACAAAGAAATACGCAATAAGCTCTCATGATCAGATACATCCACAGCATGGCAGTGGGGAGCATTCCTATTACACAAACAATTGGCTAGGAACTCCTGTGCTTTCCAACACAACTAGCTCATCTCCAACATATCGAACTCATTAACGCACAAGCAGAAGCATTTGCCCGCATTATTAATCATGGTGCTTCTGTCATTTGTTCATATGCTATCCATTTATATACAACTAAACTAGCTTATTTGTCACAGGCAGAAGGAAAAATGGGCAACTAATCATGTTGTATGGTCATGCCATACCCAAGGCGCCTTGATAAATACACTTCAGCTACTGAAGTGGCTGGTCTGCCTTCCAACAGGAACTTGAACAATGACGTGAAATGTTTGGCTTGAACATGTCCTGCACGCATTTTCTATGACAGTCTTTCAAGTAAAAGGCCTTCCCCTACCGGGGACACGTTTATTTTGTTAATAAACTTTCACAACTGCAAAGCGTTACATAGAGGTGGTCAGTGTCAATCAGAGGAACTGACCACAAATGGTGGAGATCATTTTCTAGAGATCATCCAATAAATGCCTAACAGCAGACAAGGCTAAAACAATGGTTACCCAACCTCCAGAGCCGCCCTTTAATTCTAATTAAGATAATTCAGGAAGATTCAGGTCCCACTAAAAAGGGTGAATCCAAAATTGTGGAGCCCATAGACCTCTATCCTATGCTTTTTCCATTCTTGAAATGCAGTGAGGTTAAGTACTTGTTCTCCTCTTTATCATTCCCTCCCCTCACAGCCAACCTCTGATGGTGGCACCGAGTCTCCAAATAGTTCTGCTAGAACTTCCTCCCCCTTTTTATCGCTTGTAGCACTTAGAATGTTAAGAGAAGCAGTGGAATTTCTAAATACACATAGAGTTTTGGGGGATCTTCTCCAACATATTTTCTCAGATCAGAGTACCAACTGTTGATTGTGTCCAGAACAACCAGTTAGTGCTGTGACTGAAAAATATAATCCTTCAGACCCTGTTGGGGGCTTCCTATAAAAGATCCAATTGATTCTAAACTCTGACCACTCCCAATTATGGTATCTTGTCGAATACTGTTAAGATTTCTCCATTCCAGCATCCATGCCAAACTGCATGGGGAGAGGGAGTGACAGAGAACAAGATACTACATCAGAAAAAGGCATTACAGGGAAGGCATGAGAAAAGAAGAAAACAAACAAGGAGATGCAAAGAGCAGCACTGAATTTGAGGGTCTTAAGCTATGCAGAGCTCAGAATAAGAGGCTTACCTTATAGCCTTTCCTGTATCTGTAGTTGTCACTCTGATTAAGGAAACAAGAAATGCCTTCCATACTTTGTTGATATGACTTTACTACAAGACTGGTCAACAGCACTGATACAAGGATGCTTTATCATGAAAGTGAAGATAAGGCTTCGTGAACAGAGGGAGGGGGGAGCTGACAAACTTGAATGTAGCAAACAAAACAACAAAGCACAGGGCAGACTTCACTACATGAGAAGGTACATTGCTGAGAGAGTTGGTAGTGAGAGTTAGGTGGCTTAGGTGACACTAACCAGAAAATGTGTTGAAATCATGCTTCTGATGGGCAGCAGAAAAAAGTGGATTGGACACCAAGGAAGGAGACATAAGGTAGGGATTGTGCAAGTAACAGAAAAGAAAGGGCAGTTCCTGGATGGTCAGGTCAACAAACTGAAGTCTAAGAAGGAAGGGATCAACAATAGCAAACTGGAGAGGGAAGTCAGGTAAAACAAAGATGAGAGTAGAGCAATAACCTGGAGGGGCATCAGAGGTTCCACACAACTGTGACTGGAAGGGGAGGTGTGGCTGACTCCATACAGTTTATTGTGAGGGGCTGTGTCCAAAAGACAACCATGCCATCAAGATATAGTTTTCACTACAGAAAGTCTGACAGCCACCATGTTCAGCAAATCCCTTTCTTCATTAATGGCAACTTCAGAGCAGCCTGAGCCTGCGGCATAGCAATGGCCTCAATACTGCAACTCGGAACTGCTTGGCTCAGAGAGAGAAGGGAGGGAGAGCAGCAAGGGGGATCTTGTGGGGGTGAGTGGAGGTTTAACAAAGAATCACTTTAGCAGAAACTCCTGAGTAATGGCACTGCCCGAGGCCAAGAATAACATCAGCTCAATGTCAGCAATTAGAAGAGGGCTCAGCCAGGCCCCATGGCCAGCTCTGGCCTCCTCACAAGCACAAGCCTGTTTATAGTCCTTTCCCAAGCTCACGAGCAGCCACTGCTACCCACCAAGAGCTCCTTGGATGTGGATAAAAGGAAGACCTCCCGCTCCTGCTCAGAGGGGCAGCAAGAAATCTGTAGGTGGGGGAATTTGGGGACAGAAACCATGTGGCTACGTAACAGCTTTGAGAGAAGGAGTGTAAGGAGCAAAGGGTGAAGGACCCCTTCTTCAAGATGCTCTGAGAGAAGGATGGGGGCAATTTGCCTAGAAGATATTCTCAAAGACTCTGACCAGTGACTCATATGCTTCATAGGAGGGAGAGTGGGTGTTCAGACCTCCACGTTAGCTCCGTTCGTGGTTTTGTTGGAGTCCAGTCCTACCAGACTGTCCAGCAAATATCTCCCTTCTAATTGAGCAGTCTCTTTTGAGTGGAGATTTGTTCACCCAAACACTTCTTTTAGCAAGGAATATTTTCAGACATCATCTGGAGGAAAAAAAACACACCTCCCTCTCCAAAATAACAAAAAAGGGTAACGAGTGCAGCAGTAAGCTAACTGTAATCTTGGAAGATTCCCCAGACAGGACAGAAAAGCTGTTCCAGTCACAGTGGTCCACCCTTGGCATCTAGGAATCACCCGTCAATAATATAAACCCATTTTCATATTTCCTCTAGCACTTGGGCTCTCATCCCATTTTTTTTTTTTCCTAGCAATTGTAACAAAGGAGTCATATGTCTGTCAGGTGTCTCAGAGCACAGCAGTGAAAGGAAAATATTAAATACCACAATATCAAAATGAATAGGAGACTTTGAGAAGATTTTCAGGGTTGCAGAAAAAGGTTGCACCTGGCATGACGGGGAGTGGCCGTGCACCCTGCACAATGTAAGATCTTAAAAGAAATTAATGTGGCTTTTTTTAGAAAAAAGATGCAGATTCTCCAAAATAATTTTTAAGTTTGCTAGCATGCTGCTTTTTTTGGTAGTTACATCTTATTAGAAGAAATCCAGGAGGAGAAGAATTTAGTCGAGCTAAAGTCCTAATCTGCTTGCCACAGAACATACAGTTGCCAAATACAATTTCAAGACCCCAGATTTGGAAACACCAAAATAGGAGTGACCAAGCTTGAAATACTACTACCCACTAGCAACACAAGTAAAGGCAGAACTCTGCAATTCAGTAACAAGATTAAGTGACAAAGAGCTGTGGGGACTGTACACAACTTTAAGGCTGCCTGAGGCAATGTAAGGTAATGCTCTGAACTTCGGCAGAAAAGGAAGCAAGCACATGCCAACAGCCAGGATGTCAATGTGGTGAAAAAGGTCAGCAGGAACTGCAGCATCAAAATTTTATTAAAATCACTGCAGATAATATTAGTCTATTGTAATACTCTGGAAGAGCTATTTCCTCAACAAAAGCTGTGCCACATGTATTGGTACGAGGTTGTTCCTACTTAGCTAAGACTTGGTCAGCACTATTAAGTCCAAGACAGGAGCTTTTTTAGTTACCTGGTGTCGGGCTTGGCTTTGCTCCAATAGCTGTCGTGACTGAAGTTTTTGCTGCTGAAGTTGCTGCACGGCTAAATTCAGCTGATAGTTGGGGTGTGCCAGTGGACTCCGTGTCACTTTGCTGTAGACATTGTTCTCCACCTCCCCTTCCCAGGCAAAACGATCACTCTCTGGAGCCCTGAGAAAAGAAAAGTCATCACATTTTTGCTTGTTTGCCAATATAGACTCTTGCTTACAAGGCACCATTGCTTCCTAAAACCTCCTTAATACTTAGACAGCTGCGAATTTGTTTTAAGTGGCTTCAACAAGCACAATACCTGCTACAGGTGCCATGTGCCAACTGCTGCCTTGTTAAGGAGCTTCTTGAATTCTAGCGCAGAATTACATTAATAGCTGTAACACCATGTTTGAGAGGAACAAAGAAAGATAAAAGAGAAGAGAAACTTAAAATTGGAACTGTGGCTGATCAGCAGTAAGGAGATGCAGTGTTGCAACAGGAAAAGAGCAAAAGATTTACATTACTAATGAGATATTTATTTGCATTTGTAGAGATTGCCAGTATGCTAACACAAGGCTCACACCAAGTACATGCATGCTGCAGTAAGGGTAGAATAAAGGCATGCAAAATAATTCCCTCAGAGAGGACAAACGATTAGAGGGATGAGACTGCAACTGTGGCTTACACTGACTCCACACAATTACAATCCAAAAGATGTAAGGGGACTGAAGATGGGTTCACTTCTTTCATCATGTATGTAATGCAATCCTTACCCAGAAAAAAGGCCTCCAGCAAAGAGGCAGTTCTTATAACCCAGGCTTACATGGTGGAAGTTCAGCTGTGGTCTGCAACTTGATCAGTACTGACAGAAGCTCACCAGCTTGCTTTGAAGTTTGTAAGCTGTGGTGAGAAGGCAGTACCAGCGCACTTAGGCAAAAGGCTGCAGGGCTTTGCAGAGAACAGGTGGCAGACTGACAGAGCCACAAGTTGTCCTGAAGAGGCTATGATGGCCCAGCAGCTCACACACAGCGATCATAAGAGAGGATGCCATACAGCCTACTGTATCTGACACTGCCTAATAAAACCTTCAAGCCCCAATGCCTGAGCTTCCCAGGCTTCAGTTGATCTCTGTCATGTTTCTCTCAGCCACTCTTTTCGAATGTTGCCCTTTGGTTCCCAGGGCAGACTTTCCTTGTGTTTCCTGTGTATGTCATAACTAACTGGGTTGTAGAAGATACTTGTTGTCTTACATTTCATGTCATAATTCAGAGTGTAGGTTACAGTTCTGGCAAGAGTGTTAACTGTAGTCTCCTTGTTTTATGACATCATCAAAACTTACAACCTAGCTTTTCTGAATGTGTCACAGCTTCCCCTATAATCTTCATTATCACAGCAGCACCTTAAAATGTTCTGAATGATGCTTCAAAACACACCAGAAGAAACTACCAGCCTTATGTACTCTCTCAAAAACAGCCTAATGTGTATCTTTCAAAGCAAATTATAACAAGGACTCTAACGGGTACCTGTCCATACTCAGTTCCTCAGCAACACAGGAGTAAGACAGCCTAGTGGAAAAGAAGTTCAGCTGCCAGTATTTCCACCCCTGCTTCCTCCACCGCTACCGCATTTTCTCTTCTGGGCATTAGCATTCTCTGTTCAAGGGATCCCACTTCCTCACTTTGTTGTTTCCATTGTACCCCGGCAGTGCAATACTGGATGCATTACTATTGTTCCCTGCTATCTGCTGCTACACCTCAGCAAGATTCTCTGTTCTTTTTCTTTCACCAGTGCTTGGAAAACTGTAATGTTGCTGAGAATACTTAGGCCTTGAAAGACAAGCTGTAGAGGTTTGAACCTGACTCTGAGGTTAGATCTCTTGGGAGATTAGCTCTCCTTTTCTGAACCTGCCATTCTTCTTCTCTTTATGGAGCAGGAATCATCTCCTCTTATTGGTTTATGAAATAACAGTTATCTAACATCATCCAACATCTGAAAATGTTAGTATAAAATTAAAATAAATTTCTTAGGCTTTCAGCTTTCCTCACTTTCCTCTCCTGCAACACCTAATTTTTTTTTTCTTTTCCTTGCCTTCCAAAACTCTTAGATACTTTTTTTTTACTCGTGGTCCTGTAAAAGAATCTCAGATACTTTCCCCTTTCTGTTTCTGTCTTCAAATGAGATGAGTACAGAGTAACCTCCACAGTGATTATGTTCAGGATGTGTGTATTCTTTTTACCTTTCCTCAGTCAGTAATGTGGCCACTGTTCTCTGTTACTGTGGTTCCGTCTGCAATTATTCAGCTCTGGATCCACAGGTGTTGCTGGTCTCCCAGCACTGTCCCCTACTGGGCACGGGATGCCACAAAAACCAGTGCAGAGAATCTTTGAAACGATTTCCAGCTGCCTTCTCTCCAATCTCACCAAGTGGCTTAACAGCAGGCTGTCGCCATGTGGACTGAACTCTCACCCCAAGGATAAAAACTGCTCTTTCCACTGTGTAGATATTGACTTCCTCACCAATCCAGATGTTAAAGCTCTCTGGACTTCTGTGTGAAGAAGCAGCTGCAGTCTCTGTTATTCTTCCAGTAAAGTCAGAGACAAGCTCTTAGCAGAAAAGCACAAAGAACTGTGCTGAGCTGGGGATGTACCCTTCGGGAGATAGCTGGGGTTACTGCAGATCAGCTCTTGAAACAAACATCAAGTGCAGAAGACACAAAGGTGAGCTCATTCAGGAGATCCACAGAAGACACATTAGGGCTAGGTAAGCAGTTTCATTACTTATCATCAGTACTACTAATAGATCATGGTCTTCAGTATCTCATTTGAAATAATGTTTCATTTGTCAATTTGCTTTGAGTAACGTTTTCACACCAGTTATTCCCCATTTGAGAAAAATTCCTCATTTGAAGAAAATGTTCCCGAAGAAAGTAAGCCAGCATGATCCCATGGGGATACCTCTCATGGATCTAATAACTAATTAAAAGCACGTGAAACGAGACAGAATAAAGGGACAGTTTCCACATGAATCTGTGCTATGGTCTCTGCTGTTCAAAACACTTAGAAATGATCTAGGAAAGAGTGAAATTTAAAAAAAAAAAAAAGTTTGCAGCTGAAAAACTGAAAGTCACTGAGAATTGCAAAACAAACATCACATTACCAAAGAAAATTACCAAAGGTATGGAACAACATATATTGTGGAACTATTGCGGGACTAAATAAATAAGGACTCTTCATTGTGGAAAAAATGACAACTGAAAGGAAGTAGGAAAAATATATTTAAATTAATGAGGTTCAGGGAGAAGAAAAATGGAGAACAATTACTTCTCATACTGTAAGATGTTGGAAAAAAATATGAAGCCACCAGACGAGCAGGTTAAAACAAATAAAACAAGGCACTTTTTCTCTTAATACGTAATTAAACTGTGGATGCCTTCATATTACAGGAAGCTAGGGATAACACAAATGTACAGGGTTCAAAAGTAATTGTACAAACTAATGTAAGCAAGAGCCACTAGAACTGTATATATACAAAGATAACACCTCCTGCCCAGAAAATCACTGAGTCCCAGAGAATACTGGGGAATTACCATCATTGCATAGCATCACCTAATGCTCTCCCCCATTGTTTTCCATAGGCTGCTGCCTGAGCAGGACACTGAGCCATACAGTCCTTTTGGTCTGAGATAATGCAACCGATTTTGTTTATGCATCAAGAGTCTTGAAACAAAATCTGCTGCAGGTAGCAGTCAGAAGTTAAGAGGATTCAGTTAAGTTCCACCATTCATTCTAGAAACTAGCATCTGTTCCAATTCCTCTTGTATCATCTCAGAACCTGAAATCCATAAATTCAATCCTTTGATCATAAATAATGCCTAGGAAACAAAAGATTGAGTGATTGGTTCTAAAACATGAAAGTCAAGATGAAATGAAGGAGATAAAATTGATATAAATGAAAACTCCATTGAAGTTGGACCTGCTGATAGCCAAACTGGCTCTGTGCCACACATGTGATAAATAGTGACGACAGTTTGTAGTACTGTGAGGGCCACTAACAATGGCAGAACTTCAGCATCATTTCCTTGATCCCCATTTCTTCTGTTTTGAGATAACTAGCAAAGGATTAACTATTATGGGAAGACAAACTCTGAAGTCTGACAGTCCTGTTTTTAAAAATGCACGGGGAATGCTGCCTTGATCCAATGTTTGTTCACTCTCAAAAACTTTCATTTGTTTTCTAACTTGTTTTAATCTAATTTGTCTCCTATTTTAACCAATACTACAGAGTACAATAACTTTTTAATGACATAATATTACCCAGATAAGTTTAAATTAAACTACACAGGAGGACACTCTTGAAACCATACTACCAAATCTTTAGGAAGAACTAAGTTAGAAAAGCCAAACCAATCCCACAAAACTGGCTAATATTTTCTTGCACTGCAGATGGTCATATGCAAATCCCTACAGTTCCAATACATGTATCCCTCACATCACATGATGCAGCACAACAGTGCTCACTTTTTTTCTAAATACTCTGCTGAAAGTACTGCTGCTTGTCAGAACAGATTTCACTCTCACGGCCTGCAAAATCCTTCTGGATTGAATATGCTCGTCAGCTGCCATGGGCTTTTCTTCTACAGATGGAAATCAATATAAATTCATAACTTAAAGCATAAAATATTCGATAAGTGAACGCGCACACATTTGCAAATCTTTAGATCACTTTCATAGAGGGGTAGTTTATCAGCACTTTCAGAAAGTCCCCATATAACATATTACCACGTTGCTGATACTACATCTAAAGCCAAACTTCCCTTAGTACAAGAAAATTGGGCTTAGGAGAGACTCAATATTCTGCTGCCAGTGACATGCTCCAGCTCTCAGTCTGTTTGCCATGCTCAGAGGAATGCATCATGGTATGGTTCCTATTCTCAGCCTCGTCTTATCAGATGCCCTAACAAAGCAAGATAGCACCTTTACGCCCTTCCTGAAATTAGCTTTTCTGCTTAAGGTATTCAGCAACAGATTCAGCACAGTAATGAAGCCTGTAAAAAGGCTGTAGAGGACCTCACAACTTAATAAATACTACAGGGTTCACATGGTAGAAAAACTATAAAAACAACCTAGCTGAAAGAAAAGCTTTTTCCACAACTCACATCTTTTTAGACAAAGTCAAAAATA